CAGGCCTTAGGGGAAAGGCCAATCCTCGCCTTCAGTCAACCCCCAACCTCAAACAAATTCTGTCCAGCAACCACGCAGCACACCTCCATCATAATCATCTAGGAACCCACCCTTGCAATCCACCCCAGTGCCAGCTCTGTCCACACATCCACACCAGCGATTTCATCATTGGACCCAACAACATCAGTCACTACATAGGGGCTCAATTAACTGCACATTCACTAATGTGATCTATGCCATCAAATGCCAGCAATGCCCCACTGCCATGGATATTGGCCAAACTGGACTGTCTCTACGGGAAAAAATTAATGGACACAAATCAGATCTCCGAAAAGGCAACACACAGAAACCTGTCGGAGAACACTTTAACCTGCCCGGGCACTCATTAATGGATCTCCAAGTCACCGTGTTGTTTCAGGCCAATTCTACAAGCCAAATACACACAGAAGGGTTGGATCTTAACTTCATTTACAAGTTTAATTCTTATGCTAATGGAATGAACAGAGACATGGGCTGGCTCGCACGCTACCTTCCACATCCTAATGACTTAACCAACCAATGGAGGTGCTAATTGTTCTTATCAGCCTCTTGTAACTAGTTGAACAATCTACTCACTGTCTCTTCCCTCCCCCCCACTCCCACACCTTTTCCCTTATTTATTCTTGGATCTGGACGTCTAATACTCCAGTCATCTGAAGCAGTGGGCTGTGCCCACGAAAGCTCATGATCCCATCAACATAGTCTGTTAGTTTTTAAGGTGCTATCAGACTTTTCGTTGTTTTTTAAGTGACATTTTCCTCCACTTCTGAAAAGCAGCCCTGGATAGTTTTAAGTCACCAAGAAAAAAGTTCTCTGATGCCATTATTATTCTTATTTCATCCCCACCAACAGGGAGCCAAAGCTCAGATTTCAAATAATGACTGTTACACATTTTACTATTCCTCCCATTGAAAATTGCCTCTTGCATGAGCTAATGTTAAAATCTTGCTATGGTTCACAAATTGTGGTATAATGTAATTTCACTGAGCGCACACAGGAAGACAAAAATATCAGACATTCAGACATATACAAATATTTCAAAAGGGAGATATTTGTAAGTATTTGGATCTCAAAAAGGCCTTAATTGGTTCAAGATGTTCCGAACACAGACATGGTGGGCAATGAGGCTTCACAATAAGTCTTTGAAAGCTTGAGGAATTCTGTGGTTTTTGTGGGGGAGAATACAAGAGGGATCAAAATCAGCCTTATAAGGGGTCAGTGGTGGTAACCAACATCCTTGTAAGCTGTGCGCTCCTGTAGCCAGTCCAGAGAGATTTAAATGTCGCCCACAGCAAGGTTTTGTTTCTACTGAACATAAGAACGGCCAGCCTGGGTCAGACTAAAGGTCCATCCAGCCCAATATCCTGTCTGCCGACAGTGGCCCATGCCAGATGCCCCAGAGGGAATGAACAGAACAGATCAAGTGATCCCTCCCCATTCCCTGTCACCCATTCCCAGCTTCTGACATACAGAGGCTAGAGACACCATTCCTACCCAGCCTGGCTGACAGCCATTGACGGACCTAACCTCCAGGAATTTATCTAGTTCTTTTTTAACCCTGTTAAAGTCCTGATCTTCACAACATCCTCTTGCAAGGAGTTCCACAGGTTGACTGTGCACTGTGTGAAGAAAAATTGGTGGTGCACATTTGCACATTCCTCAGTGAAATTAAAAATGTATTCTGCACATAGATGGAAAATCTTCATGTGGAAGGAAAAAACAGATAGAAATTGGTGGCAACCCAGGGCTCTGATTCTGAACAGTGATGCCCATGGACAGAGCTCTAGTGGACACAAACTCCTACCTGTAAAATGGCAGCCCCTAACAACACAGCACCTCCTACACCATGCTAGGTGGGCACTGAGGGCCAACAGTCATAGGGGAAAATACTGCAACACCTGCACCATGTCCTATAGCCTAGCACCTCCATACTACCACCATGCTGGGCATTGTAGTCAGACTTCCTCCAGATGCTAATCGTCTTGTCAGTTATTACCCCCTGATAGAAGTGATCAGGAAAAGATTAACTAGTGATTTCCAGCGTCAGGAGGGAGTTCTGAGTGGTAGCTGGAGCAAGCGACAGTCGAGATTCTCAAGGGTATTCCTAGCTCTGTCCCCACCTCCAACTGTGACCTCAGGCACTTCAATGCCTCAATTTCATCACCTGGAAAATGGGGATAATAATACAGAGCTGTTGTAACGATTCACAAGTGAATGCTTGCAAAGGGGCTTGGGATCCTTGCATAAAAAATATTACAGAGTATTATTTAAATCGTATTGCTGCAGAACTTAAAACCTCAGGGATCATGCCCGAGTCTTTCTAGCTGTTCTTCTCTTTCTTTTTTGACCTTCCTATTTATATTTTTATACTTCAGTTGCCAGAATTTATGCTCCTTTCTATTTTCCTCAATGGGATTTAACATCCACTTCGGAAAGAATGCCTTTTGTCTCTCATTGTTTCTTTCACGTTGTTGCACAGCCACGGTGGAGCTTTTAAAATAATGCATAAAATATTAAAAATATGACTAAAATGCTGTGTCCTCATGACAAAGTTCAGGTATAATAACCAAACTGATATTTCACAGCTGGAATCTCCCATCCATTTCAAGTCCCGTTACACAGATTCAAGGGACTCCAAGGTCAGGGGGACCAGTGTGACCATCCAGACTGACCTCTTGTTTAACACAAGCCAAAGACCCGCCCCCTCCCCACCAAAATTCCTAGAGCAGCACTGCTAGAAAACATCCAATCTTGATTAAAAAATGGCCAGTGATGAAGACTCCACCACGCTCTTGGCACACTGGTCCAGGGGTTAATTACCCCACTCAACCGTACACCTTCTTTCCAGTCTCAACCTGCCCAGATTCACCTGCCAGGCCTGGGATGCTAGTCCTTTCTCTGCCACACTGGAGAGCCCAGTATTCAATATCTGTTTCCCATGGAGGTACTTAGACTGTAATCAGGCCACCCTTTAACCTTCTCTTTGTTCAGCTAGGTAGACCGAGTGCCTGGAGCTTGTCCCTGCAAGGCAAAGTTTCTAATAGTTTTTGTGGTTCTGCTCTGACCCCTCCCCAATTTATCATCCTCCTTCTGGAACGGTGGAGCCAATATTCCTGCAGTGGTCACACCACTGCCAAACACAGAGGTAAAATAACCTCCCTGCTGCAACCCCAAATTCCTGTTTATGCATCATCTAGCATGACTGGCCCCAGGTGTCCTCCTTCAGCGAAAGCTCTGTAACTACTGCCCTGAGTAAGTAGCAGCCACTGCCATTCAGCAGCAAGACGCCCAACTGGCTCCCCAGCGTACTGAGATGAGGCACAATTAATTACAGAAGGGAAACCAAACTGGTGGCACAAGCCTCTGATGCAGACCAGCGAAGACGAGAGACCTTCAGGAGGATCTGCTCACGCATACGTAGCCCTCTTTCTATTTCCCCAGGAAAACTATACCTTCCTCTTAGGCTTCTTATCCGCCACCCGTTCCCCACTGGATCTGGGCTGCAGCTGCACTGAGCTCTGCCTTGTTTCCTGTGAAGAGTCTGGGGACTCCTGTCCATGTTCATCTTGGGAACCGGAGGTTGGTGCATTTTAAATGAGTATCCGGCGTTAGACAGGACTGCATTCTGACCCTGCTCTCTTGCTCGATCAGTCCGACCAGTCCACAGGCACCGAGATTGGTGATCTCTCACTCACAGACCTTGACGTGCTGACAACGTCCTTGGAACAGAGCCCTGCAGGTTTGGTGTGGCACTCCAGCTAAAATAGATCTCCATGTTTCACAAAGACAAAACGGCAAAATCGGTCCCAGGTCCACCTGTGACACCAATCTCTGAACAACAAAACTGGTGAATCCGTTTCCTGCTTTTGCTCTCTGGGTTCTACCTTACCAGCTCACAATTCTCACATGCAGGTTCTCTATCAGACTGGCATCTCGGCGTTTGCCATGGGCCATTTACAGCCGACAAGGAATCAACATAATCTTAGTAGGACAACCACGTGCAGGATTTATTCAAGCTGTATCCTGCCCATATTGTTGTACTGCTGCGAAACACAGACACTGCACTGCGCAGGCTGAACAAAGCTGGAGGCTTTCCCCACAAAATGTCAACAGCACATATTGGGCGTAATGTGGAATGAGTGCGTCCGTCATGCAGATGTTTATGGTCGTTGGGGTTACAGACTACTAGGACCAGTGTCCGCAGGTGGCACCTTGGCTTTTCGCACATTTGGCAAGGATGTCACAAGATGTTCCAGCAAACGCCATTCTCCGATGGCTTGTAACAGCCAGGATAAAATTCCACCAACTAAGGGGTGAAGATGGCCCATGAGCTCATCAAGTCTGCTCCAAGGCTGGGCTCTCAGGCTGTCAAGTTTTCACAGCTGAAACGGACCAAATGGCGAACGATTGCTATGGCCGCCTGTCCGGGTAAGCGCTGAAGAAAGCTGAGGAATGACCAAGCTTAACCAGCTACAGTGACTGAGGCACAGGGAGACCAAAGCAGAGGTCCAAGGCCACAGTAAGCCTGACTGAAGGGCACAGCCCAACGGGGACAGGAAGCAGCATGGTGACAGGAGCATGTTGGTCAGGGTGCACTCGCACTTCACGTGCAAGCAGAAGGGCAAAGCAAAGCTCCCCTCTTGGCACCTCGCCTCACACACTGAGAGAAGCAGCAATGTCAGGGAGAAGGCGGTGGGAGGAGCAAATCTCCATGGGGCCCCAGGACAGGCAGGGCAGGGGGGCTGCAGGGAAGGAAGTACACAAGCACAGCTGGGGGAGCATCCCAGGACTGGCAAAACACATCCATACATATTACAACCTGGAACTGTATCTACTCTCCACCCCAGGTCGGAGAGGTCACGGCCTCAGACTTAATTTCCCTTTGAAAGGACAATATTGGCAGCACATGGCCTAGGGCATTAGCATTGATTTCACATTCTGCAGGAACAGAAAGTTATTACCTTGAACCTTGGTTAATGTATAGCCCAAATGCTGCCCTGAGCTGTCCTGGGAAGGGCAGAGAAAGGCATGTGCTGCATTACAGACGAGTGGCAGGACCAGCTGGGCCGGGCAGAGCTCACTGCAGTAATCAGCTCAAGAGGAAAGGAAAAGTGGTTCCAGGTTGCAGCTATCAGTGGTTTCCATCCGTCAGCACTGAGAGGCCTCCCAGGAGCCAGGAGCTTACAGCATTGCCCTCTCCCTAAAAACAAGAACAACAGACACTTCTATAGCACAGCTCCATCAGCAATCCAAAGGGCGTGGCTGGACCAAAGCTATAGATGCAGCACTGAGCGCAGCTCCCTCTCCGGGGGACACGGCAGCAGTTTAACACCACTGCCTTGCAACCTATGACGGATATTAAAGGAGAACTCCCTCACCAGAGCCCTGCGTGGATACAAAATTTGTACTCGCGTCTGTAGCCACAGAAATGAGCTGCGGGTATCCATATCCCCATCTGCGGACGTGGGTACCCGTAGATATAAAGCAGATATCCACAGATTTGCAGGGCTCTATCCATAACCAGCTGAAATCAGAAGGGGAAGTTTTAAGGAGACAAAATTAACTTACTTACATTGGGTTTTGCAGATGACACTGAGGTGACTAAGCCAGTTTTTGAGAACAGTACCATAAAACCTTTAATCCACATATAGTCACTGTGGCGTAGCGGGGGTGCTGTCTGCTCTGTGACCCGGGGTCCCCCTACACTCAACGCACCGTCACAGTCACACCCTCGATTTTACATCTTACCCACAAGATAGCCCCCTAAATCTGCACTAGGTGTTGGGGTCAATCCAGATTTGGATTAGAGCAGTGATCCTCAGACCTCGGTGGCTCAGGAGCCAAATTAGCAATCAACAGTATCCAAAAGAGAAACAGTAGTGTGAATTCATCATTTCATTTCCTATACTATGATAAGTTGAAACAATATATGTACTGTTCCACCGCAAAATGACTGACCAAGTATTATCATTTTATCAGCTACAATTGATCAACAGTAAAAGCATCCTGACGGGTTAATAACTTAGATCAATAAATAATTAAATCACAGTGATGTACTGCAAAGAGCCGCAGGACACACATAGAAGAGCTACCTGTGGCTCTCCAGCCTCAGTCTAAGTATCACCAAAATACAGTATCCTCTGCCGAATCATACCCCCCTCCCTGCAGCACCATCATGGGAGATGAACGTTATTCCTGATGGAAGGAAGAGTCTCCTCTCCATTACCAACACCACTTTTAGCATCACCTGGATCAGGGGTGGGCAAACTTTTTGGGCTGAGGGTAAGGAGATTATATGGAGGGCTAGCCAGGAAAGACTGGGGGAGGCTATGCCTCTCCAAAGAGCCAGGCATGGCCTGGTCCTCACCTGCTATCCAACCCCTCTGCTTCCCAGGAGTCCCCCGGCCTATCTACCCCTCCTCCCCTCTCCCTGACCCAGCCCCTAGGATCCCCCATCTCTTATCCAAGCCCTTTCCCCATGGCCACCCCCCAGGACTCCCACCACCTACCAAGGCTGTATGATGGTAGGTGTCATGGGCAGGGCTGGGAAATGTGTCCTCCATGAGAAACCAGGCCAGTCCTTTGAGCTCCTGAAATCCCTTCCAGCAAGGCCGTAAAGGAGATCACCGCCATCACCCAGTATCCTAGGAGCACCCTCTCTCTGGGTGGAGAGGGCGTTCCCTAACTCTGACCGACTGCTGCAAAGGCAGGGAAATGAGATCTCCTCAGCCCTGGGGGCGTGTGGAGCGGGGAATCTGCCCCGCGACTCTCTCAACTCTCCACTCTCATCAGCGGCCTTGCCCGCAAACATCAGAGCGAAATGCCCACCCCACCCCTTCCCAGAGCAGCCCCAGGGGCACAGGGGGAGGGGTGCCCCTCACACCGCCCAGCCCTGAGGGCTTCCCTCCCACGGCCCCTGCCCCACAGCTCCACACCAGCCCCTCAGCCCCAGAGCATCGGGCCCAGAGCAGCCCCAGGGGCACAGGGGGAGGGGTGCCCCTCACACCGCCCAGCCCTGAGGGCTTCCCTCCCACGGCCCCTGCCCCACAGCTCCACACCAGCCCCTCAGCCCCAGAGCATCGGGGCAGGCACATCCCCACACACGGGGACACACAGGAAACACCCCA